CCTCACAGAATTACCACTTTTGCTAAGTTCCTGAGAGGATGACAGAGCGTTCACCAAGACAAGTCAGACTGTGGTCAAGCCTCAGTTTTGTGCCCTGTGTGGAGACCTGCTAGGGTGTCAGGAACTGTGGCAGAGCCGCTCCCTTACAAGCCACAGGTAAAATCACTTCTAGTGAAGAAATTTCTATCTCAGGGTAGCATGGGGGAAGGGACTTAAGCTTGTTGAAGGACAAAAGTTTGTCAAAGGAATAATATATTCTATTTATTTTCTCATCTTTTGCTGAAATATTTCCCAGTATCCCATGAGACTGATTACTATGATCATTTCCTGCATACAAAGGCAGCGCTGAGGTGTGTGTCCAGACACCTGCAAGGACAGGCACCAAGGTCTTGCATACACGCACGTGTGCAGGAACGTGTATGTGCGTGTGTGTGGGTGTGTGCACTTAGCATCAGCAATAAGCCTCACAGACCCCAGCACACTATATCAACATGCTTTCTGCAGCTGCCCTTTGGAAGTGGTGTGTATAATTACACATTCAAATTAATTCCAGCCATACAAACTGGCTCATCTCACTTTCTTAAATATATAAGGCAGATTTTGAAATATGAAATTCCAATTTTAAACCTTAAAAGAAACCATTTCATAGCCTTTGTTTATCTTTTCCAGGTCTGAAAGAAAAGCTCAAATACCTGCAAGAGCAAAGCTCAGGTAACAACACTGTTTATTTGTTTGTCATCCCAAACTACACCAGCTAGGAGATGTTATTGTTATATGTGATTTATAGTCCTCATGTCATATCACCTTAGTACCCTGAAGCAGAATTTATGACGTCTGTATGTGACTCATCCTAGCTTTCGACAGGGATGAGATTAAGATGGCTTTATTATAGTGGAATGAAATAGATGTCTTTGAGTGGAGCTTAATTTTAATACTGCAAGTAACATACCCAAGTCACCAATTCCATGGGCCCAGAACGACAGCACACATGGAGGTCCCAGGGCTCCCCTTTACGTCTCAGTCTCTCACCATAAAGTGCCTTGTGAACATGCCAACCTGTATGACCTTACTTTTCTATAACCAAGCTCTTTATAATGCTTTGGCCCCCTTTAATCATTTCCCTAAAAAAAAAAAAAGGTTGTATGAAAAATTTTCTTGAAGTCTGATTTGTAATCTTTTAAAAATAAAAATTATCCCACTAAGTAAGTTCTTCCTTATGAACTTTAGAATCTGCTGGAGAGACTGAATTAATTTTCTAAAGTTTCTAAAGAAAGGACAGATTAAGATCACTAGGTGGGAGAGGTGGGGAAGGTGAGTCATGAGACTGGAAACAGGGGGATTCAGTGCTACAGTCCCCATACCTGGTAGTGAACCCCCTGTTGAGCCCCAGCTTCAACTCCCTCCCAACACCACTGGAAACAGCCTTCTGCACTCCAGGTAGGAGAGTGGAGGACTGTCCTCAGGATGAGCAGACTGGGCAGGAGAACAGAGCTACAGACACCAATATTTGAGGGTTACTCCAAAAAATGTCCATCTCTGGCTGTAACTCCTCGGTGAGGTTAACCAGAGGTTAACTAGGAAACAAAGGCCAGCCTGTGCACAAAACTTCACTCATCTCTCTAGGGCCTCAGTTTATGAATAAGAAAAGCCCAGGAGGGACAGACAGGAGGAAAGCCTCTAAAAGGAAAGGCAGAGACACAGAAGTCAAAACCAGAAGGACGTCAGGGATTCAGAAACTATACAGAGCTCATACTCCTTTGCGCTGAGGAGTCTGATAATTAAACTCCCCAGAGCATGAGAAAGAGACAGAAGAATACACTATACCCGTGAAACAAGAGCTGGGGACTCTTGGAAGTTAATATTTGAATGCTGAAATGGAAACGGCCAGCAGAAGTGCTCAGAGATCGATTTAAAGAAATAGACCAGGAAGTAAAACAAGCAAACAAAACCCACTTTAAAGGTTTCAAATAGAAAAACAGAAAATTAGAGGCTCAAACTAGGAGGTAGACTTAAATAGTAAAGATTTCTGAAAAGGAAGGAAGAAAATGAAAAAGAGGACATTTCTGAAGAAATCATCAAAGACATTTTGAAGAACTGAAATCCTTGGTTTTCAGATACACATGAGAGAGCAGCCCAAGGAATGAGAACATACTAAAACCAAGGGCTCACAGAGGCTGCAGGAGGATGGGCTTTGTGCCCCCAGGAGTTGCACTGGTCCCTGGTTATGTTTCCAGCTTCCTGCTGGGACTGGACTCTGCTCTAAAGCATAGGCCACAAATCTGGGTCTGGGCAACATGTGAATTCTTGGCTGGGCCCTTCTTTTGCAGAGTTGGACCCTGTCTCTGTGGCTCAGTTGCTAGGGACCTGCTTCAATTCAAATGGGTTCTCCTGCCCCTCCATTTCTCTGGAACAAGACTCCCCTCTGACCCCAGTGATTTCCCTTATCCACAGAGTTCTGTGTGGCTTCTGTTCAACAGAGAATCCCTTGGATAGAGTCCAACAGCTGGACTCCTCTCATTCTGGGATTTGGAATGTGGGCCATGCTTGCCACAACATGCCTGAGGGTGAGTGGTTCCTGATCCCAGCTCTGCTCCTTCCAAACTTACCCCTTACCCCTGCTTCCCTCTGGCCTGCATTCCCCAGGGCTGAGCCTAGAGCACTTTTTTAAACAGCATCTCATTCTCTTATAATTCAAATATGTGCTGAGTATTGTTTCTGGACCATATATTTGGGTCAGGAGGATCTATAGACCTTAATTGCAAGATCTCAATTTTAAAAAGTGCCTGTCTCAACAAGATAATATTCCTAAAGGATTTGTCAACTTAAAATATTTCAGTGAGTTGTTAAAATGAGCCGTATCATCCAAGAAAGTCTCCCTTCTTTGAATAAGAAAGAGAGAGAAACAAGACAGAGAGATGAGGTAAAGTGGCAGAGAGGAAGTTCTTGGTTCCACCATCCATACCTTCTGCAAATATTTATCAAGTCCTACTGTGTATTTGGCATTGCACTCAGCACTGAGGATGTACCAGAGAGTAGAACAAGCCCCTTCCTCATGGAACTTACGGTTGAGAGCTGTGTATAAATTATAGGTTTGTTTAAGCCGTTAAGGCAGGGAATCTGCTTTTCTGGGAACTCCTGAGTGAAATTCCCTTGTTCAAGAAAGCCTAAATCATACTGGTGCCCTGCCTTAGCTCACAGCCTTAGGATCAAACACAGCCTCCCGGAGATGGTCATAACCTATCCAGCACCAAACAACCTGTCTACTTCAAGATCCATCCCGCACTTTGATGTACTTCCCCTCAAATAAAGGATTGGGGCCTTTTTCATGTTTTCAGTTCCAGTCCCTATCAGGACTGGAAGACCCATCAGGCACCCCACTTTGAAATCTAATTTCTGGCTTTGTCTTTTATTCTTTACTGATTATTTCAGATTTTTTTTTTTATTTTCCCAGGTGGCTCGCACCTCTGAGCAGGAATCTGCTGGTAACCCCGGCTGTCCAATAGTGGAGACAACAAACAAGCAAACACATTTTACTTATCTATTTTATTTCTCAAACACTCGGAATAGCTGTATGTCAGAATTTGCTCCAGAGCCTTCAAGAAGTAACTCATTTAATCCTTACCTCAACACTGTTAACATTCCTATTTTTCAGAAAAGGAAACTGAAGCACAGAAAAATCAAGTACCTTGCTTAAAGTCACATGCTGGCAAGTTACAGAGGCAGGCTGCATGTCAGGGCACTTATGTGCTTTCCTAGAGGCTTGGGCAGGAGTTAGCTCTGTGGGACAGCAGAGTGAGGGACTGGGGGCTCATGCGAGTCCATGTCACTTTAGATCAGAAAGTTGGGGAGGGCCTTTCTGAGGAGGTGCCATGCCTACGTGGCCCTCCGTGGAGTTGGGAGCTCAAAAAACTCTGCAAAATAGAGAAGGGGATTGTAGAGGGTGAAGGAGAAGCCTTTTCCCCTTCCCACCCTCATGATTAGCTTCAACAGAAGTTTCTTGTTTGGCAAATGATGTCAAACTCCTTAAATTATGGCAAGGTCACAGTTGCCAGGAGCTGTGTCCACAGTCTCCCCTCTGGGAACAGTTGTCATGGCTTCTCAGCAGTTTTTATTTCCTCTCATGACTGTAAATTAAATTCTGTAGGTGACACAATTTTCACCCATTTCAGCTATGTGATACACTTCTCTGCATTTTAAAAAGGTGTTAATCGTTTATCACTCTGTGACTAATTCTATGCTCATATTTATCCTCACTATTTGGATTTTTGTTGTTGTTGTTGCTATTCAACATCACATCTACAAGACACCAGGAAATTATGATAGGTGAAATTTACCCAACTAGATCAAGTAAAGGTTTTATTTTTTCCTTTACTTTGGTCTCTACATTTAAACTCTGCGGTTCTCATGATGCTTACCATGGTCTCAGTTTATTTTTATCAGTTGGTAATGAAATGACAGGACTGACATGCCCAACCTGTCTTCAGTCCTAAAGTGCTTTCTGCAATTAAGAGTCTTAAAATGAGAATGATATAAAGAAAAGCTTTCCCGGAAATGGCATGACGCCGAAGTGGAAGCCGGCATCCCTACGTAAACTCATCTCTTCTCTATTAAAGGCCATAAATTTTCATTAGATGATCAATAGAAATGGCATGATTGCTCAGGAGCTCAGCCCTGATATTTAAATTCTTCTCCTCAACCTTAATGAGGGCATATATGAGAGCAGTGGAGTGGGGTGACATTTAAGACTTGGATACTCTGAGATTAGACACAGATCATTCAGACGTTAGGCTGCAGGCGAATGGAGATCCTAACAGGCTCTAAATAGCAGTCATGGTACAGTAGTTATAATAGTCCCCCCTTGTCTGTGGTTCCTAGACCTAATCTTGGAGTCTTGGAAAGTATTTCCCACAAATAATGAGGGACTAATGTAATTACAAAAACTGCAATAAGATTAGCAAGCAATGTCTTGTGTTTTGAACATGCTTTGAGATTCTCAGCTAGCATCAGCATTGTGTAACAGGCAGTGTGAAAGGAGCTTCTAGCTTACATCAGGCCATGCACACAGGAGTGGAGAGAAGATGAGGGGCTTCTGGAAAGGTGAGGGAGTCAAGAGGAAAATTAGGTGAAAGGCAGCTGGAAATAGGATCTAAAGGCAGTTACCCCTAGGTGTCCATAGGGGATTGATTCCAGAACTCCCTGCCAACACCAAAACCTGCAGATGCTCAAGTCTCTCATGTAAAATGGCATAACGTTCACGTATAACTTACATCTTCCCATATTCTGTAAATCATCTCTAGATTCCTTGTAATACGTAGTAAAACGTAAATGCTATATAAATAGTTGTTATACTGTACTGTTTAGGGAATAATGACAAGAAAAAAGTCTGTACTGTTCAGTACTTTTTGGTTTTGTGTTTGTTTGTTTGTTTTTGTTCCTGAGAAATATTTTCAATGTAGAACTGAGGAGTTCACATGATTATGGTGCTTTCCATTTGGTTGGATGTAGTTGGGCTTCTTAACCTTGGGGACAAAGTCATAGTATTTCTGCAGCAAAATGTAAAATTGCTCACATTGTGTGCAACGAATGAAGTCTATAACAAGTTTCATGTCAATTAAGGTCAGATATTACTACTAAAAAAAGAAAATAGCTCTTATATGTAGTTTACAGCTTTTTAGACTTCAGAATTGGAAGAAAGAATTGTGAAACTGTAATCCATTTTGCAAACAGGTTTTCTGTTAATATGTCTGCTTTAAAAACTATCCTAAAGTTGAATAATAACTTGGAATGAAAGTTTAAGAATTTTAGTCAAAAAAAAAGTTTATATACTTACATGTAGGTAAAATTCAATTGAGTTGAAGAGACAGTGGAAGAAATTTCTCAAAGTATTCTCATTCAAGAGGATGGTGTTAGGTTGATTTTTGTCATGTTTGTAGAAAAACCTTGTAAATCAATGATAGAATAAAAAAAATGTGAATGTTTAATGAATCGCTTTATAAGGCAACAAACTCAATTGTATCCCAGGTACCATACCTGGCTTATGAGTGTTCAATAATTATTTGTAAAATCGAAAGGGCATTCAGTTCATAAAAGCCTAGTCTATAAAGACTGGTAGGAGATTTTCTGAATACTTAATAAAATATTTCATGAAGAAGAAATGAAAAATAAAAGTGAAAACCAGCAAAGGGAGGAACTACACTAGAAGAACAGTCTTCTATTAATAGAAGGATAAAGTAATTCAAATTAAAAAAATCGTATGTTGAAACTCTAACTCCCAATGTGATAGTATTTGAAGATGGGACTTTGGGAGGTAATTAGGTTTCGATGAAGTCATGAGGGTAGAGCCCATGATGGGGTTACTGCCCTTACAACAAGAGATACCTGAAAGCTTTCTTTCTCCTTTTCCTCTTCCTCTTCCTCTTGTTCTTCTTCCTCCTTCTATTCCTCCTCCTCCTCTTTCCTTCCCCTCCCTGCCAGGAAAGGATATAGTGAGAAGGCAACCATCTGCAAGCCAGGAAGAGAACTCTCAGTGGCAACTGAATCTCCTGGCACCTTGATCTTGGACTTCCAGCCTCTAGAATGGTGGAAAATGCATGTCTATTGTTTAAGCCACTTAGTCTCTAGTTTTTTGTCATGCAGCCCGAGCTGATTAAGACAAGAGCTTACATGTGATCATATTGCTCTAAATGCCATCATGAACTTACAAGAAGAAATAAGAGAGTTAAAATTATACTGCAGAGGGGTTAATATATAGTCCCTATCTCAATCATACTTTAGCTCCCAGTATAAGAGTCCAGTAGCCTACTCTATTTTTAAATTGAGATCTAATTGAGATCTTCAATTAGAAATATTTCATAGTCAGATATCAGTGAGAAGAATGCACATTCATTCAATGTACTTATCATAAGTTAAGAAATCTTGGAAACAGACTTGGCTGAGCAACTGAGTCATAGCTAATGACTTGTTTTGGGTTTTTTATTATTCCTTTAGAATTAAAGAGCAGGAGTAGGTACAATATACATACAGGTTGACATTTTGATTCATTCAAGATCCCTTTGCTTGGTTTTGTAAGTTTCAGAGACTAATATTTTTAGTATTTACAACACAGGATTTTCAACAGAAGGAATTATAGAACAATGAAAAACCAGAAGTAAGATGGCTTAGAGATCCTGTGACCTCTAAATATACACCTATTTATAGCCTATATTTATTTTCTAAAGAAATAACTTTGCCACTGGCCTGCAGGATCCAGCACCCTGCCTTGACTCGCCTGGTGTAGACTAGCTGGGCACCCCTGAACATGGCTGCCTGCAATGCAGCTTCCCCAGAACACCACTTTGCTTCCAAGTCTGCAGCCCGGCCCACCCCCACACACTAACCTTCCAAGAAGGGAAGTTTGGAAGTCTTACACCACAGCTTTCAACCCAGTGGGAAAAAACAATAAAAAGGAAAGTTGTGACAACCCACAGCCCATACACCCATGCTTGGTTCATACCTCAAAAAGAAATGAAAAGAAAACCAGGTGGGTCCAGTCAGTGAACACATACACTCACTGACTATTTTGTCCACCACAATGGATACAAATCCTTAATTTCTTAACATTTCACCAAAATTTACCAGGATAGATGAAGGCTCAGAGATACAAACCAAAGGAATGTACCATCTTTTTAATTAAATGATATCAGAAAATTTCTCAAACCTTAAAAATGAAACAGAAGACCAAATATAGAAGGTTTACAGGACCCAAATATACAAAATTACAACAGACCACACCAAGGCACATTAGTATGAAAATTCCTAACATATAGAATAAGGATAGAATTTTAAAGGCTCCCAGAGAAAGCAACAGATAACATGTAGAGGAAAATCAATCCAGATCTCAGCTGATTTTTCAACCCAGACCCTCAAAGCTAGGAGGTCTTGGAATAATATATACCATGCTCTGAAAGAAAATGATGCCAACCAAGAATACTACACCCAGAAAAATTAAGCTTCAGATTCAATGATGAAATAAAAACCTTCCATGATAAACAAAAGTTAAAAAAATTCACAACTAGAAAGCCTGTGCTACAAATCATACTTAATAAAATATTTCATGAAGAAGAAATGAAAGATAAAAGTGAAAACCAGCAAAGGGAGGAACTACTTAGAAGAATAGTCAGTCAAAGGATAAACTAATTCAAATTGAAAGCCATAAATCAAACAAAATAACAGGGAATAAAAATCACAATCTCAGTCATAACATTGAGTGCAAATGGCCTAAATGCATCAATCAAAGGACACAAAGTGGCAGATTGAATTAAAAAGCAAGACCCAACTATATGCTGTCTCCAAGAGATTCACCTCATAAGCAAAGACATCCACAGACTGAAGGTAAAAGAATGAGAAAAAACATATTATTTACATGTATCTCATCAACAAGAAGGGGTTTCTATCCTCATATTAGATAAAGGGGACTTCAAGCCAACATTAATCAGAAGGGACCAAGAAATCCATTTCATACTTCTCAAGGGAATTATACATCAACAAGACATAACAATTGTATATTTATGACTCAAATAATGGAGTACCTACATACATCAAACAAACCCTTCACAATTTCAAGTATCAAATAGACCACAACACAATAATACTGAGTGACTTTAACACACCTCTCTCATCATGAGATAGATCCTCCAGACAAAAACTAAATAAAGAAGCTGTAGAATTAATAAATACAATTATTAATTTAGACTTAACTGACATATATAGAATATTTTATCTACCAAAGACTGAATGGACTTTTTTTCTCAGCAGCACATGGATCTTTCTCTAAAATAGACCACAGCCTATGCCATAAAGCAAAGCTTAGCAAATACCAAAAATAAAGATAATACCTTGCATTCTATCAGATCATAATGGAATGAAATTAGAAATCAATGATAAAACACAAAAGAAAAGTTACTACACCTAGAGACTAAATAATATGCTATTGAATAACCAATGGATAGTACAAGAAATCAGGGAAGAAATTTAAAAAATACTTAGATGTAAATGAGAATCTTGATACAACTTATCAAAATCTCTGGGACACTATGAAGACAGCTCTAAGAGGAAATTTTATTGCATTGAGCACATTCTTTTTTTTCTTTATTAAATTACTTATTTATTCTAATTTGTTATACATGATGGCAGAATGCAATTCATTTCATATTACACATATAGAACACAATTTTTCAAGTCACTGATTGTACACAAAGTATTTTCACACCATTTGTGTCTTCATACATATACTTAGGGTAATGATGTCTAACTCATTCCACCTTCATTCCTACCCACTTGTGCCCTCCCTTCTCCTCCCTCCCCTTTGCCCTATCTAAAGTTCCTCCATTCCTCCCATGCTCCAGCCCTCCCACCCCAATTGCCATTATGAATCAGCATCCTTATATCAGAGAAAACATTCGGCTTTTGGTTTTTTGGGATTGGCTTACTTCACTTAGCATTATATTCTCCAACTCCATACATTTACCTGCAAATGCCATGATTCTATTCCCTTTTAATGCTGAATAATGTTCCATCGTGTATATATACCAAAGTTTCCCTATCCATTCATCTACTGATGGACATCTGGGTTGGTTCAATAATTTAGCAATTGTGAATTGTGCTGCTATAAACATTGATGTGGCTGTGTCCCTGTAGTATGCTATTTTTAAGTCCTTTGGGTATAAACCGAGGAGACGGATAGCTGGGTCAAATGGTGGTTCCATTCCAAGTTTTCCAAGGAATCTCCATACTGCTTTCCATATTGGCTGCACTAATTTGTAGTCCCACCAGCAATGCATGAGTGTGCCTTTTTCCCCACATCCTCGCCAATGCTTATTGTTTTTTGTATTCTTGATAGTTGCCATTCTGACTGGATTGAGATGAAATTTTAGAGTAGTTTTGATTTGCATTTCTTTAATTGCTAGAGATATTGAACATTTTTTCATATGTTTGTTGATTGATTGTATATCCTCTTCTGAGAAGTGTCTGTTCAGTTCCTTGACCCATTTATTTTTACTTTTTAGTTGTAGATGGACATGATATCTTTATTTTATTTATTTATTTTTATGTGGTGCTGTGAATCAAACCCAGTGCCTCATGCATGTGAGGCAAGCACTCAACCACTGAGCTACAACCCAGCCCCTTGGCCTATTTATTGATAGGGTTATTTGGTTTTTTGGTGTTAAGGTTTTTTTAAAATTGTTTTTTAGTTATACATGGGCTCAATATCTTTATTTTGTTTATTTATTTTTTGATGTGGTACCGAGGATCGAACCCAGTGCCTCACATGTGCGAGGCAAGCACTCTGCCACTGAGCCACAACTCCAGCCCTGGTGTTAAGGTTTTTGAGTGCTTTATATATCCTAGAGATTAGTGCTCTATCTGATGTGCTTGTGGTAAAGATTTGCTCCTATTCTGTAGGTTCTGTAATCAACTCACTGATTGTTTCTTTTGCTGAGAAGAAGCTTTTTAGTTTGAATCCATTCCATTTGTTGATTCTTGGTTTTAATTCTTGTGCTATATAGAAGTCTTATTAAGGAAGTTGGGGCCTGACATGATGGAGATTTGGATCTACTTTTCTTCCATTAGGTGCAAGGTCTCTGGTTTAATTCCTAGGTACTTGATCCACTTTGACTTGAGTTGTGTGTGTGGTGAGAGATAGGGGTTTAATTTCATTTTGTTACATGTGGATTTCCAGTTTCCCAGCACCATTTGTTGAAGAGGCTATCTTTTCTTTTGGCGCCTTTGTCTAATATAAAGTAACTGTAGTAATGTGGTTTAGTCTGTGTCCTCTATTCTGTACCATTGGTCTACAGGTCTATTTTGGTGCTAATACCATGCTGGTTTTGTTACTATTTGAGCACAATCTTTAAAAGAACAGAAAGTCACCAAATAAATAACCTACCATTACATCTCAAAGCCCTGGAAAAAGAGGAACAAGTCAACACTAAAAGCAGAAGACAAAAAATAATTAAAATCAGAACTGAAATCAACAAAATTGAAACAAAAAACAGTTAAATATATAGAAGAAACAAAAAGTTGTTCCTTTTTTAAAATAAATAAATTATTAAACCCTTAGCCAAGCTGATAAAGAAAAAAAACTCAAATTACTAAAATTTGTGATGAAAAAGGAAATATCACCATGAACACCATTGAAATACAAATGATAATCAGAAACTACTTTGAAAGTCTATGTTCCAATAAAATAGAAAATCATGAAGACGTCAACAAATTTGTACAGACTTATGACCTACCCAAATTTCAATAGGAGGACATAGAAAATTTAAACTCTAAGAAAATGAAATTAAAGATACCATCAAAAGCCTATCAACAAAGAAAAGCCCAGGACCAGACAGGTTCTCAGCCAAGTTCTATCAGACCATCAAAGGAGAATCAACACCAATCCTCTCCAAATTATTCCACAAAATAAAAAAGGAGGGAACCCTTC